TGAAAAAATAATTTATTTGCTCGACGTATTGGCACTACTGATGTCCGACACGGCAAAACTTAAGATTGAATTGTGTTTTGCAGTGTCGATCTGTGTTTCTCTGTGTCATAGATGGAAAGCACCACACTAGACACTGTGTCACACAGTGCCGCCTGTGTCTCTTGTTGGAAAGCACACATAAAATATCAGCCTTAGGGTGCTATTACACGAGTCGTACGACGAGCGTTGTCGGACGTAGCGATTGGCTGCCGATGGTGCTCAAGTGGGGAACTTCCGTCGGAAAATTACTAAATTTTTGTCGTACTAAAGTCGGATAGTGATGGACTTCATACGACAATAGCAGACGATATTGACAACAAATACACATTAAATTCGTTGAAAAGTGAGGTTGTTTAAGCCGTCAAGCTGTCAAGTACGACTGTGAGTTATTGTGTTGTAGTGAGATTACTTGAGCAGAAATGGCTAACATTTTGAATGATTCAATTCTATAAGCAATAATACAAATTATGGTACGAAGAAGATTATTGGTGGCAGTAATGTTATTAGGTCGCAAAAAAAAAGAAAATATAAGAATAGAAAATATTGGGTTTCCAATTTTGTAACCCAACGTGATATGAACGGCTTACAATGTAACAATTCCCGCATTATAGTAAGAGATTCTGATTTATTCATAAATTATTGTCGAATGACTAGAGCACAATTTGAACAATTACTTATGTTGATTGCACCAAAAATTAAAAAGATGTTTCTTCGAGAACCAATTGAACCTGCACAACGTTTGTTGCTTACATTAAGGTTAGAAATACGAATATATCTATATATATAAATTGTCATTCTTGTTATGATTACTTTTTTATAATATTGTATTTTTTATAGATACTTAACATCTGAAGACTCCATGATGTCAATGAAATGTCGGTATTATGTTGCTCAACCGACAATTTCCAAAATAATTGTAGAAACTTGCGACAAATTGTGGATTACTTTAATGCCTATTGTACTTAAGAAGCCAGTATATGACGAATGAAAAAAAATCGCTAAAGGACTTGAAATAAAATGTCACTTTCCTCACTGTTTAGGTGCTATAGATGGAAAGCACGTAATTGTAAAGGTAATATGTAATATGTAAAATATAAATTCTTTTATTACGCTTATCTAGCAGATTAACATATTTTTGAGAAAATTTTTAGGCGCCACCAAATTCTAGATCATCATATTATAATTACAAAAGCGTACATAGCATTTTATTAATGGCTGTTTGTGACAGTGATTATAAATTCGTCTTGGTTGATATTGGTGGAGGGGCATCAAAGCGATGGAGGTGTTTAATCAAGATCTGCGATGGGTCGCGCTTTTTCAAGAGGTGATATAGATGTATCACCTCCAAAGTGTGTCTTTAAAGGACCTGTTCTTCCGTTTATAGTAGGGGACGAAGCTTTCCAGTTAACTAATTATGCGGTTTTTTCCTGGGAAAGATTTAACAAAAGAAAAAAGAATTTTTAATTATCAATTATGTGGAGCGCGTCGTATAATCGAATGTACACCCACGGTCATCGATTCTGTCCCTCGGAAATTTTCACAAACTCTGAAGTGATCACTTTTCTATTAATGCTCATAATCCATGCACGATTAACGAAACGAAATCGTGCATGGACTATAAGCATTAATGTAGAAAAGTGATCACTTCAGAGTTTGTGAAAATTTCCGAGGGACAGAATCCATAACCGTACGGGTGTACATTTGGGCTTTTTGCTTCTCAATGGCGAATATATAGAAGACCTATAAATACACCATTAGAGACAGCTGAAAGTATTATGAAAGCTACTATAGTATTGCATAATTTCCTTCGACAAAATAAAGATAATTCTTTATTCAATACTTGCAATATAGAAAACGAAATAGCATCCATTGAGATGAGAGCAGAAGCGTTACAAAATATTAATAATATTGATATGAACACAAATTCGCGAGAAGCATATAAAATATGCGAAAAATTTACTAATTGTTTTAATAATATCGGTGCTATTTCATGGCAAGAAGCCATGATTCAAAATTAATATTTTCACGTTCTCACTTTCTTTTATCAAAAATTAAAAAAAAATCATATTAAAAACTTCTGAGTTTTATATCGACATACAAAAATCAGTCTCTTACTAGTTCTCTGTCTATATATAATCTATTAATATATCTGTGTATGTGTACTTTAGACTTAAGAGCTATTTCAAGGCAAGTAGAATTGAATCTGAATTGATTTGATTATGTTGTATTTATGCCTTATGACATTTTATGTAACGCGCTTAAATCAACTTATATTACGTATGTTGCTATAATTTTTTCAAACATCTGGAAAAATTTGCTATGCGTCTTGCAATGTCTCGAGATATACATTACAATCGTAAACTTTGATATGTCAGTGTCTTTTCGATTAATTTACATTGCATTAACCATTATTACTGTCGAACTTGCTGTATTTGCACCTTGTTCTGTATAAATTATTACGTAGTTATAAATATAGTTATAGAATTGTATAGATATAAGAATGTTCAATATAAATATAAATAGAAGTACAAGTATAAGATATATTTAAGGTAAATAGAAATTTAGATATAGCTTTTCTCAATATATATAATAAGGCAGAAAATGTAACGACTTTGTTTTGTATGTTTTTAATTTTAAATCTTTATTTATTAATAACTACACATTACATGTAAAAACAAAAATTAATGTATAATAGTTTTTCAATTTTAATATCACATGTAAAACAACCTGCCCTTGATGCATGGATAGCTCGCCGGTTTACTGTAGACGCAGGGATGGTGGGTAGGCTCAGGAGAGAGAGAGCGGAACGGGTAGTAAGAGAAATTACTCGTGAACTTTTAGTGTAATTATAAATGCCATTTATTCAATGTTAAACTGTTTGATTTTTATCCGGGCAGAGAGAAGGGATAACAGAGGAGAAGACATTTTTCAGCAATGCTCGATTACTCGTGAGAATTACTTATTACAAGAACGAAATATTTATTGTACGAAAGGCAATATACATAAAGAAAAGAAACT